CCCCACTCTCCTTCTCTATACAAATTAGGACAGGTTGGGAAGAAGTAACTTGGTACAGCACCCTCTTCGATCAGGATTACATGGGAGGGACTCTTGATAGAGAATAAAAATAAGCTTGAGTTAATACTGGCCTTATCCTTAAAAAAACTAACAAATATCATCCCTTTCTTAGGGAATTTTATGCAATTAAAGCCCCTGGAATGAAGCAATGATTAGGCTGTAGGGTACACACTGTATTAGACTGAATATTTCTGAAACAAGAAGCTTTGCTTTACTTATTTTTGCCCTGCTAAAGGCTGTAAGGGGACATCCATGAGCCTGGAACCCTGACCTTCCCTGTGGGAATGTTTTTCAGGATTCCGGCACTAAATCTAGGGTTGGAGATATTTAATGAAAGGTAGGGTAAGCGACTTAAGAAAATTGTCGCACTCTTGATCTCTCTCTCCTCCACTCCCTGCAGTAAGAAGTTGGCCATTCCCATGCCTGGGAGTAGGCAGCAATATTTCAATATTTCTCTGTGTGTATCTGAATCTTAACTTTCAACAAGACTTTCCTCGCTCATACAAGAAAAAATGAAAATACAAAATATAAACTGACCTATTTCATTTGAATGAGCTCCTCCACAGAATCCCTTATGACATTGGGTACAGCTTCTGTAGGTGCTATCTGCATTTATTCTTGAAGCTCCAAATCTTTCCTGCTACTTTAGGTGCAAGTGAATCTCACCTTTAGCACTCAGGATTGATAGAAGGATGCACAGAAAGGCAGATATAGATAAGTACACTAACCTGTTTCACTGTCTGCTATATCCACGAATTCAAACATCAATATCACATTCTTTTAATTTTTTGATTTACCAATATATTTGAAAATCAACCTAAGATTAATGCCTTCTCAGTATACCTTTATTCTCTTAAATGTTTCTGGCTATTTTCACATTTTGTTCTCATGAATATTAGCATCACAGAAGTAGTTGTATACTTTTTATATGAAAACCATTGAATACTGAGTGTTTATTTTGTCTTTAGATATCTTAGAAAATTTTTATTTGTAAGTTTTTTTTTCTAGGTAAATAATAAGCTTTAGAGAATAATGAAAATGTTTACCATTTTATACTTCTAACTTCTAAATGTGTTGTATTAAAATATCCAGAAGAATGTTCAGCAATAATATGGTTTTGGCTTGCTTCTGACTTTCAACCTAATGCTTACGGAATTTAAAATCATGAAAATTATGCTGACATGTACATTTGAAATAAATTATAAAGAATGAAAATTGCTATTTACTTTTATTATTATTTGGTTTTATTTTATAATATGTATCAAGGTTTAACAAATTTATTTAACATATATTGATGTAATTTTTCTTAGTATATTAGTCATCATTCTCCAGAGAAACAGAACCACCAACATAGAGAAACAGAGTGATAGAGAGAGGTAGAATAATACAGAACAGAGAGAGAGAGAGAGACAGAGATGGTGTCTTGTTGCCCAGGCTGCAGTGCAGTGGCACAATCTGGGCTCATGGCAACCTCTGCCTCCCAGATTCAAGTGGTTCTCCTGCCTCAGCTTTTCAAGTAGCTGTAATTACAGGCACCTGCCACCACGCCCGACTAATTTTTGTATTTTAGTAGAGACAGGGTTTCACCATGTTAGCCAGGCTGGTCTCGAACTCCTGACCTGAAGTTATCTGCCCACCCAGAAAAACTAATTGTATTATGAAGAAATGGCTCACAAAATTGTGGAGGCAAAAAATACCATGAGCTGCAATCTGTAAGCTGGACTTTATTCAATCTGAGTCTGAAGGCCTGGGAACCAGGGCAGCCAATGTGGTAAATCCCAGTTCAAGGGTAGGAGAAGGTAATATGAAATGTACTAGCTTAAGCAGTGACGCCCATTCCCAGCGGCATTGTCAAAAACAATGGAGACCTCGGTTAGGAACAGTGAAAAGGGGCTTGAAATCTTTAGCATGCTTTGTAACAGCAAATAAACTTCTGGCAGTCTGCCAGAGAAAACCAGGCAAAGAGAAAGCCAAGAAAAGGCCTCCTGGGATCACTAATTTCAGGAGATATGGAAGCCTGTGTTTCTGTGCTAGACTGCACCCACCCAAGAGCAATCGAGGCGGAATGTGGACGAATTTGTAAACATTCCCCAAGTTAACCACTGATTCATCAGCAAAGAGCTTTTACCCCTCCTGGCTAAAAGCTAAAGCACAAATTCTGAGTGAACACTGGGTGAACAATAAATTATTCTGTTCCAGGGAGTGACTCCTAGAAACCAGATTTAAAAATAAAATCACATTCATCTCTGGTGATCTGGAAGACTGACCATACACTGTCTTAGCAGTAACCAGAGAGAGGACCTCTGAGCTGTTAGTCTACTGAAAGTGGAGTGTAATTGTAAACTTCCTGACCAGCGAATGCCGTCTCCAAGCCACACACACATTGAACGGTAAAGGACAAAAATCAAACTAAGTAGGAGGACTTAGGCACAACTTTTGAAATACAGATTTAGCCTCAAAAACTGAACATTTTAAGGCACACATTTTAAGATACATTCATATGACATTATACTGTAAAAAATAAAAAATTGATTTTCTCTGATTTGAATTAACGTCCTTCATGCAGTTCACTCCCAGGCCTGTTTTGTCAGTTAGTTACAGCCTTGAAGTCAGAACATGAAGTTGTTTGCTTTCCTGGGGCTGCTGGAGGACTCCTGAGGGGCTGTCTAAAGAAACACTAGACGAAGGCCATGCTGTCTTTTCAGCACAGTCCTCTGAGATAGGTGGCAAAATAAGAGGGTTCCAACATAAAATGTTGCTCTCTGTTTCTTCTGACTTTCCCTAATATTTCCCTAATATTTTGTCACCCACCCTGAGTGAATCCCAATAAATAGACACAGCTGTCCCTCTGTTGAAGTCTTCTGGATTTTCTGTGTGATCAGAGCTGACATCGTTTCTATTATCCTGACAGCACTTTTTTCTTCCTCTGTAATAACATGCTTTGTGGATGATCCAAAATCACCAAAAGCTGCCATGGATATCATTGTAGGTCCACTCACAATAATACCTATGCTATTATTGGCAATGGATTGGTAGAAACCCAAAAGGGAGGAGTTAAGAGAAAGAATTGTCTAAGTCTTCTGATGAATCTTAATATGTTACATGTTTCTTTCCTATTTTTTTCCATTATGCATCCATAAGATATGAGTGGTCACAGGTTTAGCAGAACCATGCAGTTCTACAGATCCACCACATTTCTGGATGGCAGAGAGAGGATCAGAAGTAAAATAAGATGCCAAGTCTAAACTCGTAGAAAAGCAGAGAATCATGAGTAAATACAGCTGTGTCCATAAGGGTCCAAGATTCACCTGAAGAGCCACAATTATAACTTGCTTAAATCCACTGCCTTTTTCTATTTCAAGTCTTCCAGTAGACTGCATAAATCCATTCCCATTATCTGATAAACACTGATATAGCCCAGTATCTTGCATAATAACCCCACTGACTTTCAGTCCATTTCCTGCAGTTAGATGTCATGGGGAAGGATTAACAGGCTGTGCATTATGAAACCAGGTACTGCTGGCGGCTGGGTTCCCACAAACATCACTGGTAAAGTGGACTGTGGAAACCAGAGACACTATGTGATCATGTAGTCTTTTAGAAATGGGAGCATGTTCAAGTACATGAACCATGTATGTCACATATTTTACATCTCCAGATCTGTTTCCCACCATGGAGGAATAGTTTCCAGAGTCCACTGGGTTAATGCTATCTGTGGCAAGATGAGAATACAACCTTCCCCAGTTGCTCCCTGGGGCAATATCCTGCCTGTGCTTTAGCCAATACACTTGAGCTGGGACCCCACTAACCACACACTCCAAGGTTATGGGGCTACATGAAAGAACAGCTTATACCTGTGAATGAGCAGGGTGAAGAATGTCAAAATCATCTCAAGAAAGGTGACTCACAAAAAGCTTTTGACCAATAGGTTCACCTTTTAATTCATGACAGGATTATAATCTGCATATTTGATCCCTTGGACAAGGATACATTCAAAATCTAAAGATGTCCTGATGGAAGGATTAAGTAATCCTCTGTGGAACGTTTCAGTCACGTTCCCTGGATTTTAGCTCACACCTCAGCTTTGGGGTTACTCTCTGGTACCCTGCAGTCAATGAAGCCAGCACTTTTCTTCTGCTCTAACAACATGCTTTGTGGATGAACCAAAACCACCACCAACTGCTGTAGATACCGTTACAGGGCCACTTACAACCACACTGACCTATTGTTAGAAATGCATTAGTAGTAAACCAAAAGGGAGGAGTTAAGAGAAAAAAATTGTCAAAGTCCCCTGACGAATCTTAATATATTCCATGTTTCTATTCTATTTTTTCCATTATGCAACCATGAGCTACAAGTGGTCACAGGTTTAGCAGAACAATATAGTTCTACAGGTCCTTCCAGAAAGTGGCTCGGAAGTGAAATAAGGTGTCACGTCTGAACTTGCAGAAGGGCAGAGAATTGTAAGAGTAACATACAGCAGTGTTCGTAAAAGGCCAAGATGTAGATGCGGAGTGCAGGATTACCGAAGCAGGCGGAAACGGCTTCCAGAGTAAAACCCAAGCCTTGGTTCATTTTCCAAAGTATTGCAGTCCAGGGTAATCAAACACATTGTTTAACCTTGACTATCCTTCCTGCTTACTAAAGACTTTGATTAGGGACAGTCTTCATGCTGTCCACAGAGGTTCTCCCAGAGAGTGACAGCCGGCTTACATCTTCAGTGATTCAAGTCTGCAACGTGTATACACTTGTGCTTGGGAGAGAAAGTAGGGAAGCCACTTTCTGTACTCATCTTGGAATTCAATTCAGTGTAAAAACACATCGTGGCAGTCCTGCTTGTAATCAAGTCCAAACTAGCAATCTGCCTTTGGGTTGAGCTGTTCTCTTATAAGATAAGCTGTTATGTCGTGCCTTGATTTTAGGTCTCTCTGCGGGTTGGGCTAATCAGCCCGCTGGGAAAGCCACCCCTCTGTCACGCCCTCCCGCAAGTGGCAGCGACTACAACGAGGGCTGAGATCTGAAGCGGCCCCCTCCAGGCCCCCCAGGGCAGAAGAGGGCGTGGTGCCTCGCACGCCTGGGCGGAGGCGCTGCGTAGGGAGGAGGCGCTGCGTAGGGTGGAGGTGCTGGGTAGGGAGGGGGCGCTGCGTAGGGGCGGGGCCGCCGCACAGGGCGGTGGTGCTGTGGTTAGGGCAGGGGCGTTGCGTAGGGGCGGGGCTGTTGCGTAGGGCGGGGTCGTTGCGTAGGGGCGGGGCCGCTGCGTGGGGCGGGGACGCGGCGTGGCGGCGGAGTTCTAGGTCTCCGCGCCCTGAGTGACCTGAGCCGGGCACTCGCGCTGAGGGGAAGGTTGGTGGGGGCGCGGAGTCACAGGACGAGTTTCCGCGGCCAAGCTTCTCTGGCCTGAGGCTTGAGGGCACGTACCCCGGTGGGCACAAGACCCACCCGGAGCAGGAGGAGCAATCCTGAGAAAGGTGAGGCGGGTTGTAGAGGCCGCCCCAGTAGGTAGTTTTTTTAGCCCATCCCTCTCCTACTTTGAAGTAGTTCACAGAGTCTATTTTTCCCGTATTGGTGTGTGTTCAGTGCTTAGCTCCAACATGTAAGAATATACAGCATTTGGTTTTCTAATCCTGCATTGTTTTTCGATCCTGCATTAACTTGCTTAGGATTACAGCCTCCAGCTCCATCCACATTGCTGTGAAGGATATGATTTCATTATTATTATTATTATTATTTTTTGTGTGTGAGACGGAGTCTTGCTCTGTCACCAGGCTGGAGCTCAGGGGCACAATCTTGGCTCACTGCAGCCTCCGCCTCCTGGGTTCAAGCGATTCTTCCGCCTCAGCCTCCCTAGTAGCTGGGACTGCAGGCACAGGCCACCACGCCTGGCTAATTTTTGTGTTTGTAGCAGAGACGGGGTTTCACCATGTTGGCCAGGATGGCCTCGATCTCTTGACCTCGTGATCCGCCTGCCTCGGCCTTCCAAAGTGCTGGGATTATAGGCGTGAGCCACCGCGCCCGGCCAATTTCATTATTTTTTATGGCTATGTAGTAATCCATAATGTATGTACCACATTTTATTTATACAGTTTACCATTGATGGACACCTGGATTATGTCTTTGCTATTGTGAATAGTACAGCCATTAACATAGGAGTCCATGTGTCTTTTTGGCGGAATGATTTATTTTCTTTTGAGTATATACTCAGCAATGAGATAATTGGATCAAATGGTGGTTCTGTGGTAAGTTATTTGAGAAATCTCCAGACTACCTTCCATAGTGGGTGGACTAATTTATATTTCTGCCAGCAGTATATGATAATCTTGCACTATCTTTAGTTTACAAAATTTCTGCTAGACTCAGCTCGGGGCTGCAGCTCTGACTGCAGCAGGTAGCTGGGGCTTCCCTAAGCAGATCATGTTGACAGGTAAAGAGAGTGCTCAGATTCCAGGGTTGTGAGGAGAGAAGCAGAGGAAGAAGTTGGGGAGAGGGCCACATTTGGATGCCCTGAGGAGGAATGATAGGCAGATGTAAGGAAGGTGGCATTGTGCTAGCCACTGGTGACATCCTCCTAGTTCCAAAGTCTCCTGGAAAACATGAAACCTTACAATTCCCAAGCATGCTGCAGTTCTGGAGGGCACAGTGCCACTATTCTTCCTAGCTTGACTCTTCTTCCCCATAAACGTGGAACTCTGAAGGCAGGAGACACAAAGAATTATCTTCCACCGCGCAACCTTTAAACCTTCAATTTGTGATTAAATCACAATGCATCCTTCTCTCTAATAAATTGTCCTTAGCTAGCACTAGATAGATCTGTGATCTATGATTATCTCTATTTTCTTGGGCAACAAAAATAGTGAACTGATTGATAAAACTTTTACCTCTGGAAAGTACTGTAAAAATTGATTCCTAATAAATTTTGTAATGTGAAAATATACTATCATGAAGCAGACCAATGGGTAACAACTTTGTAAAACCAACATATATCCCCACGATAAAACACTCCATTGCTAATGTGTTGGCTGTTGGATTTCTCACAACAGAGAGACATTTTCAGAGTTCTTCTTCCCTGTTAAGAAAATATTTCTCTCTTGTCTCCTGACAATTCTCTGGGGATCCCTTTTCTATGTCATCTGGTTGTAGGGCACGTTGTGAGCCAGATGTAGGGCTGAGTGCCCCACAGGGTCGTGGGGTGAGCCTTATGCTGTGCTGAGGCACAGGATCCGAGAGAATAAAGAGACAGGACACAGAAGTACAAAGAAAACGCAGCTGGGCTCAGGGGGCCACGCCACCTGTAAACGAAGTCAGGCAAGGCCCCCGAATGTCCAGAAGCATGAGTATTTATTGTTATAGGTTAGGGGGCAGGGCAGTGAGTGAAATCATCTTTAAGGATAGTGATAGGGTCGTGAGCAATAAAACATAGGGTCCACCCCCATTAGGTCACCTAGGCCAAGAGGTGGACAGTGCACAGCAAGGGACCGATTCCCATGAAGGCAAGGGCCATGTGCAGTAAGGGGTCCACCCCCATTAGGTCACCAAGGCTTGAAGGTGGGCCGTGCGCAGTGAGGAGGGTGCAGTGTGCAATACTTCTATCTATAGGAAAACTACTTCTAAGAAGATTTATAGGAGGATGCTTTAAGTCACATAGCAGTGACAGAGCTGTCAAGGTTACCGCCACCTTCTGGCAGCTTCCAATGGGTTCAATGGGAAGATGCTTTTCAAGCAGCACAGTAGCAAGAGCCGATAAAGTTCACAGTCACCAAGGTGGATTGCTGTTCTGAGGGCAGCCTTCCACAAGAACTGGAGCAAGGTCCTACAACTCCTTTATCAGGAGGAGTGGCTCTCGCCTCAAGCCTGCCATACAGCAGGTATCTTTACGATACTGAACGCTGCCGCCTGGGCCATGGATTCTTGTCCTGGTATAACTGTTTTCCCTGAAATCATGCTCTGCACTGTGTCTGCTCTAGGCATTCCTCCGATTATAAGCTGCTTATCTCTTAATTCATGCTCTGTACTGTGTCTACTCTAGGCATTCCTCTGATTATGAACTAAGATATAGTTATAAATCTATATGTAGGGAAATATTCTTTAGGCACTCATACTATCAACTATTATATGATTAGAGGATTCTATAAAAGGGAGCCTTTAAGCCCTATTTCTATAAACTAATATATGATTATGTAAAGGATTATATAAAAGGAAATATCTGAGTAGTAACACTATAAAGTGAGATATTCCTCAAGCCCTAACTGTGCCAGGGTTCTGCTTAGCTCTTATTCCTTGGTGCCTGTATGGGGAGTTACCCACATCTGGTAACTCCTGATTTTATTTTTTCCTTTTATAGTTTTGGACCAGTCCATGCCATATTTTCCTCCCATTACTCCCTATAAAGCTATGAATTTTGAAAAAAAAAAATAAGAGAAAAAGTGGCAAGAAGAGAGGAAGAGGATAATCCTATCAGTAAAGGGGGTGTCAATCTGGACACTGTGTTATGACATACACTGCACGCAAATCTCCCTGCAGTCTGCAGGATGGCTTTTATTCTTGTATTTTTCTTTGATCTGTCTAATAATGGGAGGGGAGAGTAACACTCTCAATGTCCCTCCTCCAGTAAATTGTAAATTTTCTTTTAAGATAGGTTCTTGCTCTGCTGCCCAGGCTGGGGTGCAATAATTTTACATTTATGGAATTATAAATTGCATTTTCAGAACATTCTTTCCTTATAGGATTCTGCATAGCAAATCTAGATTAAAACAATTTTTATATTTTAAAATACTTTTTAAATCAAAAGGCATGTAGGTTTATGATGTTTTTATGATATGTCAACCTGAGTAAACTATAAGAATGTAAGAGAGCAAAGCAGTCATTTTGTAGCCTACACAGAATTCTCCCAGTTATTCAAGCAAATACTAACCTAGGTGCTACCGTGATGATTTTGTGGATGCAATTAAAGTTCCTAATCTTGACTCTAATCTATGGAAATTATCTAAGTGGACCTGACTTAATCGAAGGCCATTAAAGCAAGTTTCAAGCATTCCTTGAATAAAACTCCAAATAGCAAAAGTTCTACATTGCTCCTGACTGCCTGTGGACAATTTTTGTCCTGTGTTAGTTAGATTTCTGCCTGCTCCATTTTTTTTTTCCCCAGAAAGACTGCCTTACTGATCTCCAGCTTGCTTAGTCAGTTTCCATAGTAAGATGACATTTTTTTCTTTATTCTCCCTCCCCCCTACTAGTTCTACTTCTCCAGTTGAACCCTGACTGATACAAGACTAATAGATTTATTCTTACTTTCGAGATAGCATTATATAATCTTTTTATTACTCTGCATATCATTCTATGGCAGACTAAGCTAATCTCACTAATATAATCAGTACCCACGCATGGTTACCTAATGCCCTATATTTGGAAGATTTAACTGTCATAAAGTTAATATATACTAAATATTTTGTTAGCTAAGAGAATACCATGGAGATTATAATAAGACATTTTAGAGACTTTTCAATTAATTCAGGCCAACACTATTGTGAGTTTTCCACCTCAGCTGACTTTGCATTTTGTGAACTTATTTCAAAAGTCATTTTCTTTAGTCAACTCTAAATAGTACATAATATTATCACATAGAAAGTTATAGTTAACAAAATAAAAACAGGTTATTTTCACTTTACTAAATTTTGTTTGAATTGCCTTTTTTTTCTTATATATGTCCAGATTTTAAGAGGCAATTTATTCTTAGGACTTCCAAATCCTTATTTCTTGCTCTGCTTTCTTTTCTGAGTTGCAGATTCATAAAGACACCTGGATGTTACTGAGGCTTTTAATGTGAATTAGGGGCACTTCAAGTTTCTCATGTCCAAAAACCCATCAGCTTTCATTCTTGAAAGGTTATTCTCACCTTCCTGGTTTCAGGAATCGGTATGACTATTTACTTCTGTATCTATCCTGGAAAACTGAGATTTAGTTTAGATACTTTTCTTCCTCAATTTTCACATCCTATCAGGCCCTACCTAGATAGTGTTGTTAAACCATAAAACCTTAAATGTCTGTCAGGTATATTTTGTCCTTCACATTTCTAATTTCTTCTTTTTTAATTTAAGCTTTTACTATCTCTTGGAAATTTCTTCTTATTTTTGGACTGACTTCTGCCATTAGATTTACCCTCACAAATGGTTTCTGAAAAACCACTTTCCATGGGCACTAGGTGGCCACCCAGTGGATTCTCCTTTGGTGCTGGTACTTGTGCCTGCTACTGGGGGACTTGTAGGCAGATCTGCCCAGTATGGCCCTACCCGTCTTGCTCCTGCTGCCCCCAGAGCTGAGGAGGGAGCTGAGAACATTGTGAACTCCACGAATCAGCCCAGGAATTAGTGGAGCTTCTCCTAGTAAACAAGGGTCAAGTATAAACCGAGCCATGTTTTATCAAAACCAGCTCTAACACATAAGCACCATCTACTGGCTTGCAGGTCGAACTGCACAGCTCAATAAAAAAACTTGTAGACGGAAATGCCTAGGGCTGTATGAAAGAAGCTGAAGGACCAGCCATACCCAGCATTCTCTACATCAGGGGTCTTCAAACCCCTTGGCCTGTTAGCAGCCTGGCCGCACAGCAGTAGGTGAGCAGCAGGTGAGCAAGGGGCCTCACTATGTTGCCTAAGCTGGTCTCAAATCCTTTTCCTCATGCAATCTGCCTGCCTTGGCCTCCCAAAGTACTGGGATTACAGGCTGCATTCATATATTATTTAAAATATGTGTACAACAGTACAACATTCTTCATACCATTACTGTTCATAGTATACCAAAATTTAAAAAAATTATCTCCAGTAGAATGCCTAAATAAGTTGTGACATATCCATGCAAATAAATTTTATGAAGCAAAGAAAAAGAACGAACTCTCACTACTTGCAACAACATGAAAGGATATCAAACATAACTTTAAGATAAATGAATCAGGACAAAACTTAAAGAATATTTAATATTAAAAAATAAATATTAACAACACAAAAGTTCTATCTAAAGACTTTTTTTTCTTTTACTCCACTTTTTTTTTTTTTTATTTTACCTCTTTCAATGTATCTAAAGATATGTCACACACAAAGACCTGGACCTTCCCTATCTCTTCTGTATCTCTACAGTGTAACAGAAGCCTAAACCACTGCAAGGAATATCAAGAAATATAGCTTCCCAGGCCGGGCGCGGTGGCTCAAGCCTGTAATCCCAGCACTTTGGGAGGCCGAGGCGGGTGGATCACGAGGTCAAGAGATCGAGACCATTCTGGTCAACATGGTGAAACCCCGTCTCTACCAAAAATACAAAAAATTAGCTGGGCATGTGGCCTGTGCCTGTAATCCCAGCGACTCAGGAGGCTGGGGCAGGAGAATTGCCTGAACCCGGGAGGCGGAGGTTGCGGTGAGCCGAGATCGCTCCAGGGCACTCCAGCCTGGGTAACAAGAGCGTAACTCCGTCTCAAAAAAAAAAAAAAAAAAAGAAATATAGCTTCCCGTAGGGTACTGGTAAAAACTTATTTCAGCTCATAGATGAGAACCAGAAATTGAAAGATGGGAAAGAGCATAAATACGTGTTAGATTAAGACACGTATCCAAGAAGTTTGATTAAGACCTAGAACCAAAGGCAGAGCAAGATTACTGAGAAGGTCCCGTTCGTAAGTCCCAGGGACAGTGTCTGCCTATAACAGAGGTTTAATCAGAACTGTTTCGTGTATCTGTGTGTATGTTTGTGTAATTACTTAAACCGATCATAGAAAATACATTTTTTAAATAATATAAACTATTCTATGAAACAAATAATTATAAATTAAATTACAAAGAAAATATTAGTGAATTCCACAGTGTTAAAATACACATAATATCTATATTGATTATAGTCTTGTTTTTTATACTATATATACATATATGCGTGTGTGTGTTTGTATGTACCTATGTGTATATATATATGTATGTATATGAAAATGCCATATAGTTTTTATATATGGCTTCTTCATCTGTTTGGTACTAAAAGTCCTATATAAATAATTTATATATTGAGCGTGTTTCTACCTAGGGTTCCTAGCATCTGTTTTAACCTTCTACTTTATAACTTTGGTTGCTATACTTTTGATGCATTTTTTAATTTTCTTATTGTAAATTTTGATAGCATTAAATTGTCACATTGAATGCTGTTGGTTTAAATTCTACTTACTTTCTTATCAGATTTCCAGATACTTCTTTCTTAATGTTTCCATGTTTCTAGAATAATTTTATTCTTCTCTTTACTTGTAGCCTTTCTGAATTATTTTGCTTTAGGTATATTTTTTTGTATACAGGACATAGCTGGGAATTACATTTGAGCTTATAAAAATAGTTTTTTTATCTTTTAATAGATAAATTAAGACCTTTCACATTTATTTTATAAATGGTGCATTAATTGAATATCTCTAATATGACTAGTAAGTACACAGAAGAAACTCAACAGCATAGTCATTAAGAATATTTTAACTAAAACCCAAATTACACACCACTATAAGCTCAATACAACAGCTATAATTAAAAAAACACAGACAATAGCATTCATTATTAAGGTTATGAAGCAATGGGAATTTTACTGCATTTCAGGTAAGCATGTAAAATAATACAGTCACTTTGAAAAATAGTTTGTTTTCTTAAAAAAAAAAAAAAAAAAACCATAAATGTACCAGAATACCCAGGAATCTCATTCTTCAGTATCTACCTAAAAGAAATATAAACATGTTTACTCAAAAAGTTAAACTCATACACACATGATAGCATTATTTATAATAGCTAAAAACTAAAAACAACCCAAATCTTGATCAACTCTTGAAAGAAAAATCAAAATGTGAAATATTCATTGAGTGAAATGCTAATCAGAAACATAGTGAAATACTAATTTATGTTACAATATGGATAAATATTGGAAATATTGTTTCATGTTAAAAGACACACTAAAGACTATATACTGTATAATTGCATATTCAGAGGCAGAATGTTAGTGAGAGGTAATTGATTCCCTAGTACTAGGGTAGAAGGTGAAATTAATTGTAAACCAGCACAAGGCATTCTTTTGGAATAATAATATTCAAAAACTAAATTATGGTGACAGTTGTGGAATTCAATAAATATACTAAAAATCATTGAATTTTACATATAACATGGGAGAATTTTATGTTATACAGATATCTCAATAAAGTTATTGAAAGTATTGAGGAATAGAAAAGTTATAAAATTGCCAAAGTGCTTTTCAAAAAGGAATAAAATGAGAAGATACATATTATTTTTATTCAAATGTGCTACAAGTGTGGAGTGATCAAAAAAGTATGTTAGTGTATGGTGACATAAAGAAATATGTACAACAATAAAACAGAATTAGAGTCCAGAAGTAGATAACACATATGTGGTCAGTTGATTTTTCACAAAGGTGCTAAGATCATTCAAAAGATTAAATGATAATCTTTTCCACAAACAGTGTTTACATTTTTGGAATTCATATGCAAACCAGTGAACTTCAAACCCATACACTGTACATAAAAATTAAGTCAAAATGGATCACTGACCTAAATGTAAGCCTAAAATTGTAAAACTTCTAGATATAGTCATATAAAAAAATTTAGTGACCTTGTGTTAGGTAAGTATTTTTTACATTTGGCATCAAAATAATAAACATTAAAAGATGACAAATTGGATTTATTAAAATTAAAAACATTCTTCCAAGGAGACAATAAAATTAAAATATAAGCCATAGACTGGCAGAAATTATATTTGCAAAACATATATAAGATAAAGTATTTCTGTCAAAAAGAACTCTTACAACTCAGCAAGTAGACAAACTATCCAATAAAATCATTGTACAATGATGTTGAGCATTTTTTTTTTTTTCTTGAGAGAGAGGATATTCCTCTGTCAACCAGGCTGGAGTGCAGTGGCAAGATCATAGCTCACTGTAACCTCAAACTCATGGGCTCAAGGCATCCTCCCACCTCAGCCTTCCAAGTAGCTGGGACTACAGGCACACATCACCATGCCCAGCTAATTTTTAAAATTGACTGTCGAGATGCTGGTGGCAATGTAAAATGGTCAGCCACTTTTTTAAAAAAGTATTTTGATAGGTTCTTAAATGATTAAAAATACCCATTAAATAATTTAGTACTTTCACCCCAAGTAACTGCCCACATAATGAAAGATATGTGGGTTAATTTGTGTAGAAATATTAATTATAGTTGCCAAAATTGGGAACCATTCAGATGCACATCATCTCGTGTTTGGATAAATAAAATGTGGTGTATTTGAGCTGTTAAAAACCACTCAGCTAAAAAAGAATAGAATATGGCCAAATAGATGCAACCAGGAAGCTCCATTCCTGTTGAGAGAAACCAAAATATTGAGCAAACCACATAACTAGCAGACACTATAAAGCAACTATACAATCCAGTCTACAAAACAACCAGCTGACAGCATGATGATAGGATCAAAATCTCACATATCAATACAAATCCCAAATGCAAATAGTCTAGACTCCACAATTAAAAGGCACAGAATGGCAAGCTGAATAAAAAGACAAGACCCAAGTGTATTTGGTCTTGGGAGACCCATCTCACATATAATGACACCTACAGGCTCAAAGTAAAAGATGAAGAAAGATCTACCATGCAAACAAAAAACTGATTTTCTCCATTAAGAAAGTCACCAGAATAGTAGCCTCCACTGCTATTAGAATTCCCAAAGTCTTGGTTAGGTTTGTAACCTGTCCCTGATGATTTAGAGCCATGGATCTAATGAAAGGTCTGAGAGGAAAATAGAAAATATGTGAGATGAAACTACAAATGAGGAAACTTTGGGCAATGTTAATGTAGCTTACTATCCCACATTCATAATCCAGGAATACCCCCAGCCAGCCTTGGGGCCTTGGAATATAATGATGTAACAATGAGGAAGTAGAGAAGAGACTGAAATGGTCATCCACTTTAAGACACAGAAGTTGAACGATACTCTCAGACTCAAGTTGCATGTCATTCCTCTTTGTCCAGGCTTCTCTGCAAAGTCCTATCACCCAATTACAAGAGTCTTTCAGATCCACTGCCCAGTAATGTTTGCCAGAGCTAAGGATCTGAGCTCCCCATGAAGAAGTATACTCTGTGTTTGTTGGATTACAGGACATGTCTGTATCATCAAGACTGCATTGCAAACACCTCAAGTCTTTGAACAGGAGTTTGTGATTACTGCATTTCTTACGATGACCTGAAAAATATTGCAACTGCAACTGTATGTTATGTGCTCTGCTATAATACTATACTATAATTCTTTTTTGTTTATTTACTCTAGACTTCAGTTAACTTTTCCTGAAAGTTTATTAACAGTTTTAAAATTGGTTATAAAGGTTTCCATATTTATCTGCTTGTTCACTGAAAATAATAATGAACAGAGACGGAAAAGTTTAGACTGAAGTGAGTATAGGTTACTCGTATAAAAATACTTATGTTGGAAATATTAGTGCAGCTCATACTTTTACCTCTGAAGAAGTTAAGCCTTTCTGACATCCCAGTGATGGTCCATGCACTGAACTGTGGGTTCACAGGCTGAGGCATGGCCAGTGCAGAAACTCATTCCTGCGGAGAAAAGTACCTACTTACCACCAGTCGCAAAGGAATCATTAGCAATCCAGTAAAGATGCTTGATCAGAGTACTCACGATTAGGTTGAAGAGTGTGACTTGAACTCAAGACCTGAAAAATATTGCAACTGCAACTGTATGTTATTATGTGCTCTGCTGCTTTTAATACCTCTATCCCAGTAGAATACATCATCTCAGTCATAATTATCAGTTCTCACCTTTCCAGCTTCCCTAGGTGGGCCATGCAGAAATTCTCCTTTAATTTCTGAAATTTGATAGGTGTCAAATTTTTGGAACATGCTACCTGCTACATATGGAGCCTCAGCTCTACACTACATTCCTTCTAAGTGTTGTTGCCTTTCTCCTATTTTTGCCATCTTTCCATCTGCTGCCTCTCTGAAATTATTTGCCTTTCCCATGGACAGCCTGGCATAACCTTGGAATATTTAGGATTCAGAAAATTAGAGGCAGGAAAAATTGTTGTATTATTGAAACTTCTATAGTAGGCCTTGCAATTAATACTTCTCCCCATCCTTCACTTTCATCTGAAGTAGTCAATATAAAAAGCCTGGATGACTTTTAGAAAAGAAAGGAATAAATACAGAAACTTGTCACTACAAGTGTGGGTCCATCCCAGCAGAAACAGCCTGATTATTGTCACAATTATTACCATGACTTGGATAGAGGGGCAAACTTATCTCTTCATTATGTCTCCTAAATCCTATAAAGAAAGAGAGGACAGCTTAGTTTGCAGCACAGCATGGTTCTCTAGTACAGTGCAGTCTGAGGATATGGACTGGATTGAGAAACTTAACATCTTCTACTTTCCTTCTCTGGATAAAGCCATTTTTCATTTTCTTTGTAAATATGAAACCCAGTTTGACGTCTACATATAGTTGCTAAAATTATACTCTTGGTGAAACATAGATGGACTGAGGTTGAACATATGGGAAGACGTGCTGCTGTACAACCACGTGCAGCCAGATTGACAGAGATCTCCACAAAGTTCTTACAATAATGTGTGGGTCCCTTGGCTGGGTGCGGTGGCTCACACCTGTAATCCCAGCACTTTGGGAGGCCAAGGCGGGTGGATGACCTGAGGTCAGGAGTTCGAGACCAGCCTGACCAATATGGTAAAATCCTGTATCTTAAAAAAAAAAAAAAAAAAAAAAAAAAAGAATGTGTGGGTCCCAAATCTAGGACCTCAAAACTAAAAGGGTAAATAATCTTCATAAATCCCACACTTTCATATATTGACACATCTGTATACAAAATTGAATCATATTCATGAGCTGCTCTGTTGCAACTACTAAGAATTGGAGGGTATGGTAAAATAATTTTAGAAGAGAATTTTCCTAGATTTGTTACTAGAACTTTTCCAAATAGTTTTACTTCTCCTCTATGGGGCAAGAAGGAGTGAGACTTGGTCTACAGAGGAGCAAAACCTGCTACCATAAGGTCAGGAGAGGCAGAATCTGAATATTTGGAACTAGAAAAGAGTGCAGATCAAAAAGGATATAGACTCTAGCAGATATGATTCCCAAACAGGGTGGTATTCAGCACCCTGACCTCCTTCTTCAGTTTTTACCTGTATCAGGTTCATATCTGCCATATCTGCTTTCCAGCATATTTCCTTCAGTTTCTCATCCATTCCTCTCAGGAGTCTCCCCGTCTTGGCCATTCTAGTTTCACTTCTCCTGAGTTGCAGAAAAATCATCTTGCCTTCACTTGCCAGGCTCTCTAAGTGCTTTTGCTTTTCTGCACGGAGGTACTGACGCACCTTAGGATATTCAGCGCTGATCATCATGACCTGCAAATGTATAAAAACCTGTAGTGACATTGGGTTAATTAAATTGTGGGTCTAAGTGATTCTATTCTTTCCTTATCAGATATTACTTGTTTCATGTTTTGTGCTATTCTGCTAAATATAGTTTAATGTCTTTCTACTTCAAATACAATGTAAATCTTCCTTTCTTCCTCCTTCCCTTCCTCTCTTCCATTTCCCTGCATCATTCCACCTACTTTCCCTCAAACCTTATTTTCATTTTTAAAATGAAGATAAATTAAGATCAAATTTATATTGTCTTATATAATGTTCTGACCTCTTCATTACTGTATCTTAATTGTATTCCATTCTTCTCAACACTCCTACTCATAACAATTTACTTCCTCAGGAAAATAGAGAACATAAGACATTACTGAATCTTCCTAAATTACTTCCATTTCCAAAACACTCAGTGTTTTTACCAGCAGTTGGCTATGCTCACCTATTACCTAAGACTACTCATCTTTACCCCTTCTCTAGATTAGTCTTACAATGTTCATTCTTTCCCTCTGCCCTCCTCTGTCTTCCTGTCTCTGTCTCTATTGTTTGCCTACTCTCCCTTTCTGGATCCGTTTCTCTGTCTCCCTCTTTTTCTGGCCTGTCTTTGTTTTTCTCTGTCTCTGACTTTCTGTCCCTTTCTCTTTATTACCCCCATCTCCTTCACTCAATTATTATTATTTTTGAGACAGCGTCTGTCACCCAAGTGGGAGTACAGTGTTGCAATCATTGCTCACTGCAGCCGTGAATTTCTGGGCTGAGGAGATTCTCCCACCTCAGCCTCTTGAATGAATAGCTGAGACTACAGACATATGCTGCCATGGCAGGCTACTTGATTCCTTTTTTTTTTTTTTTTTT